CCTGAACTGCAGGGAATCCAACAACTGTGTCCTGACCCGTGGGGATCCATTAACCCTGTCCTGACCCAAGGTGATCCACCCAACCATGTCCTGACCTGCAGGGATCCATTAACCATGTCCTGATCCGATGGGATCTATTAGCCATTTCCTGACCCAAGGGGTCCATTAATCATGTCCTGACCGGCAGGGATCCAGGCAACCATGTCTTGACCCTTTGGGATCCATTAACCATGTCCTGACACATGGGGATCCATTAGCCGTTTCCCAATCCGAGGTGATTCAGCCAACCATGTCCTGACCCACAGAGATCCATTAACCATGTCCTGACCCACAAGGATCCATTGGCCATGTCCTGATCTGCAGGGATCCGTTGGCCATATCCCGATCCGAGGGGATCTAGCCAACCATGTCCTGACCCATAAGGATCCATTGGCCATGTCCTGACATGTGGGGATCCATTAACCATGTCCTGATCCGCGGGGATCCATTGGCTGTGTCCCAATCCGAGGGGATCCAGCCAACCATGTCCTGACCCATAAGGATCCATTGGCCATGCCCTGACATGTGGGGATCCATTGACCATGTCCTGATCCGCAGGGATCCATTGACCGTATCCTGATCTGCAGGGATCCATTAACCATGTCCTGATCCGCGGGGATCCATTGGCTGTATCCCAATCCGAGGGGATCCAGCCAATCATGTCCTGACCCATAAGGATCCATTGGCCATGTCCTGACACGTGGGGATCCATTGACCGTATCCTGATCTGCAGGGATCCATTGGCCATGTCCCGATCCGAGGGGATCCAGCCAACCACGTCCATTCAGCAGCCCGGTCACCGTCTGCCCTCCCTGGAAATGCATCCCAAGGTCGGGAATGCGTCAGCCCCGCGTGGCCGCGTTACGTGGAGCCGCCCTCCCGCCTCGCCACCCGCGCGGGTCTCTCTTCCATCGCTCCCAAACCGGAGGCTCCTGCGCTACGGCCGGTGCAGGCGCCGACGGCTTCGCCTTTGGCACCATCCACCTTCCCCCCGCGCCTACTGGTCCAGCCCCCAGTGTCACCCACAGCTCCCGAAAGCGGCTCCAGCTCCCGCCTCCCGTGTCCCGACCTCCCCGCTCCGCGCCCGCGGACACGCGCCCGGGTTTTGCCGCAAGGTCATTGATAACAACAACAAATGAATTGGGCTCCTGGCCAGGCTTGGGGCTGGCACCGGGAGCCTCCAGTGCCCTGCGGTGCCACACGGGACACGGGCGTCCCGAGCGCCGCAGCAGGGGACAGAAATCCCTTGGTTTTTCCCCAGACTCCTGCGATCCACGGGATCTCCTGCCCACGTTCCCCTCAGAACAGTGACGGGATTCGGACAGCCCACATTCCCCTTGGGTTTCCCTCAGGACAACAGTGATGGGATTTGGGCAGCAAAGCTCCAGGGTGGCTGCCCTAACTTTAAGCCGGGCTGGAGGTCTGGGGTTTCTCCTGAGKGAGGTTTTCATCTCAAATGGATAAAAGGAACAGAAGACGCTGTTAAAAGGAAAGCCTYGCTTAATCTTCCACTTATCTGGTCCTGCTAAGGAAGGCCAGGCGGGGCTGCCGGAGCGGGGCTCGCCCAGCCTTGCGTCGGGCTGCGCTTACCTGCTCCCCGTCCTGCTGCCACCCCTTGGGTCCCCAAACTGCAGCGGGTGCCCCGGGCCCTCCTGGTCCCCGARCTCCGGGCTGGCTGCGGGAATGGGYGCAGGGACAGGGAGCAGGGACACAGTGTGGGGACAGGGTGCAGGGACAAGGCGCAGGGATGGGGRACAGGGACAGGGCACAGGGACAGGGAGCAGGGACAGGGAATAGGGACAGGGCGCAGGGATGGGGGACAAGGACAGGGCGCAGGGATGGGGGACAGGGCACAGGGAGCAGGGACAGGGCGCAGGGATGGGGGACAAGGACAGGGCACAGGGACAGGGAGTAGGGACAGGGCGCAGGGATAGGGCGCAGGGATGGGGGACAAGGACAGGGTGCAGGGATGGGGGACAGGGACAGGGTGCAGGGACACAGTGCGGGGACCAGGGACAGGGAGCAGGGATAGGGTGCAAGGACAGGGTGCAGGGATGGGGGACAGGGATAGGGCGCAGGGACAGGGAGCAGGGACAGGGCGCAGGGATAGGGCGCAGGGATGGGGGACAAGGACAGGGYGCAGGGATGGGGGACAGGGACAGGGYRCAGGGACAGGGAGYAGGGACAGGGCGCAGGGATGACGGACAGGGTGCAGGGACCCAATGCAGGGACGCAGTGCAGGGACAGGGTGCAGGGATGGGGGACAGGGCACAGGGACAGGGTGCAGGGACCCAATGCAGGGACGCAGTGCAGGGACAGGGTGCAGGGATGGGGGACAGGGCACAGGGACAGGGTGCAGGGACCCAATGCAGGGACGCAGTGCAGGGACAGGGTGTGGGAATAGAGGGGAGGGACATGGCACAGGGACAGGGACATGGTACAGGGACAGGGTGTGAGGACAGGGTGCAGCGACTTGGCACAGGGATACGGTGCAGGGACAGAGGGCAGGGCCAGGGCGCAGTACAGGGTGCAGGGACAAAGAGCGGGGACGTGATGCAGGGACAGGGTGCAGGGACACAATGCAGGGACACGGTGCAGGGACAGGGTGCAGGGACAGGGCACAGGGATAGAGGGCAGGGACAGGGCGCTGTCGCCCACGTGCCTGTGGAGCAAAGTCTTCCTTGAGCCCGGGAGGCTCCATGTCCCGGAGCAGCGGAGCTGGGAGGGACCTGCGGGATCCAGCTGCGACCCACGGAAGCCCAGGCCGGGCTGGGGAGGCAGCACCCATGGGTGGCCAGGCGCAGGGGACTGAGGTGGTGCTGGGGCCCATGGGGATGGGGAGCAGCGCCCGGCCCCATGTGGAGCACCGGAGGGAGTCCTGGTACCGTCTGGGTCCCCAGCACCATCCAGGTCCCCGGTACCATCTGGGTCCCCAGCACCGTCCAGGTCCCTGGCACCATATGGGTTCCTGGTACCGTCCAGGTCCTCAGCGCCATCCAGGTCCCCAGCACTGTCTGGGTCCCCAATACCATCTGGGTCCCTGGTACCGCCTAGGTTCCTGGTACCATCCGGGTCCCCAGCACTGTCGGGGTCCCTGGCACCATCTGGGTTCCCAGTACCGAGTCCCCGGTACCCCGGGTCCCCAGTACCATCCGGGTCCCTGGTACCATCTGGGTCCCCAGCACTGGGGTCCCCAATACCATCTGGTCCCTGGTACCGTCCAGGTCTTCGGCACTGTCCAGGTCCCCAGCACCATCCAGGTCCCCAGCACCATCCAGGTCCCCAGTACCATCCGGGTCCCTGGTACCATCCGGGTCCCTGGTACCGTCCAGGTCCCCAGCACCGTCCGTGTCCCCGCTCCTGCCGCTCCAGGAGGGCCCGGGTCCTGCAGCACGGAGCACCCACAGTGCTGCCCCCACGCGGCACCAGGGTGCCC